CCTGTGCTTTTATTATTTTTTTAAATCAAAATGCTCCAGATGGAAATTACAAAATTCCACTTCTCAGCTCTGAGGGGCACACATACTGTTCTCCTAAAACAGAGAGAAAGAAGGGAGAAACAAGACCCCTAATGTTCCCAAGAGAAAAATCTGACTGTTCAGCACACTCTGTCAGACTGTTTGAAACTATGTGTCCTAGAGTATTTGCATTAACTATCAGTCTTGGCTTTCCTGAGAAATTAAAAACTCAAGAAGAAGGTAAAAGAAAGGGAGTCTTGAAGCCAGATGCTGATGGCTCACACCTGTAATCCTACTCAGAAGGTTGAGATCTGAGGATCACGGTTTGAAGACAGCTGGGGCAGTAAAGTCCATGAGACTCTCATCTCCAATAAACTACTCAGAAAAAGCCAGAAGTGGCACTGTGATTCAAGTGGTAGAGCACTAGCCTTGAGCACAAAGAGGCTCAAGGACAGCACTCAGGTCCTGAGTTCAAGCCCCAGGACTGGGAAAAAAAAAAAAAAGCAGGGTGGTGTGGGAGGGTCTTGAGTAAGGAAAGACATTAGCTGGGACTCTAGGTAGTGATGTGAATTCTCTGGTACCTTGCCTCATACCTTATCACCATCCAGTGCTCAAATAGCAGCAAACACCAGCTAGAGACCAAAAGCACCAGATTCTGATCAGGATCCTATCAAGGTTGTCAAGTATTTCCAGAAGTTAATATACATGAAAGTACTTTCTAAAGTGAAAAAAAAAAAAAAAAAAAACTTGTAGAAAGACTCAGAATATTAGTCCTGTCAAGTCCAACACTGAAAGCATGAACACTCAAAGGAATCTGAACACCCACAAACCAGAAACAATGTTAGTTTTCAAGAAGCAGATACACAGCAGGCTGGCTAAGGGGATAGCCCCTCATAAAATCATACTAAGACAGGACTAAGGTGGCAACCTTAAAGGTCTTTGGGGTTCATACAAGCAGGTGTTTTAGGATGGAAAAGTCCAGGAGTGAGTTCCACAAAGTCTATCTAGATTTGACTTGTTTCAAACCATCCTGACAGAAAAGCAGATCGAGGACTAGGAGCAAAGACACAGTACAGGCCTACACTTAAACAATTTACCTGTTGATTTTAAAAAAAAGGAAACTGATGTCCAAAGAGTTTAAATAACAGACACAATATACCTTTTGTTGCTATTGGGTGAATTTAAACTAGAACTCAAGTTTCATTCCTACATTTAAATTTTCCTGTCATTTAACAATTGGTGTGCACAGCAAGAAGTCCAAGTCAGCAAGAAGAAAGGAAGACTCACTTCAGAGGATAGCCTGTACCTGCGTTAGGCTCTCCCAAGAGCCAGATACTATGCTAAGTGACTTACACAGACTACCATTGATCCCTTACCTCTAACTACCTTAGAAAAAATGCCTTTTATTTTGCCTACTTTCCCAATTACAAAACTGAGGCTCAGACAACTTATGTAACATGCAGATTTAAACTTGGATCCTCCCTCTCTTAAAATATACTCTTTAAACCAGGCATGGGTGGCTCAGGCCTGAATCCTAGCTATTCTGGAGGCTGAGATCTGAAGACCATGGAAGTTTTTGAGATTTTTTTTATCTCCAATTAACCATAAAAAGCCAAAAATGGCTCAAGTGGTAGAGTACTAGCCTTGAGCACAAAAGCTCAGAGACAACACCGAGGCCCATAGTTCAAGCCCCTAGGACCAGCCAAAAGAAAAAAGAAAAAAAAAAAAACTACATTCTTTTATCCCCCAACTGAACTGCTTGCTAGATCACAATTTTTTTTTAACTTGGCATCTGTAAGAGAAATAAGGCTGGCAGCACCATGCATCCCACAGAATACATGGTTTACTAATACTCTTACTAGGTAATGATGCAGGAAAATCCCAGCACTCAGGAAGCAGAGGGTTATGAATTTCAAGCCCCTGTTTCAAAAGAAAAGAAACTAAAATGCTTCAGTGAGGCACAGAGCCAACCCAGGCTCCTTTGTGTTGAAGTTCTGTGATCTTCCACAGGGGGTTCAGGTTCTGGAATATAAGCTCCATGAAAGTAGGGACTCTATCTTTTCAACTGCTGTATCACCCAGAACAAAATGATGAATAAAAGAATGAATGAAATCAAGCTGCTAAGGTTTGGCAATGTGACCTTGAAAGGCCTTATCTAAACCTGTTTCCTGAATGGAAGGTGACCTTAATCCCCACTTCCCAGATTGATGTAAGAATTAAATCTGATCATTGATGGAAAACACTTGGGGCAGGATAAAACTTAATGAGCAACCAAAATATGAACTATTGTCATATCACTACTAGTATTCATTGACAGATTTTGACTCCTAGTAAAATTCTTTTCCCTCCCTAGCCAGATTTTGTTTTATAGTAAAGACGCAGAATAGAACATGGGGAATCAGGAAACCTGCTAGCTTTAAACCTGCTGCTACCTAACCGTATTACCTTGGACAAACCCGTTTTCTGAACTTTTTTTTTTTATGTGTATGCTGATCTTAGAGCTTGAACTTAGGGCCAGAGAGCTATCTCTGAGGTTTTCTGCTCAAGGTTAGCAATCTATCACTTGAGCCACAGCCCTACTTCTAGCTCTTTGCTGGTTCACTGGAGATAAAGAGTCTCACAGACTTCCCTGCTCAAGCCAGCTTTGAACTGTGATCCTCAGATCTTAGGTTCCTGAGTAGCTAGGATTACAGGCGTAAGCCACTGGCAAGCTCTCTGTATTCTCACCTTAAAAATGATGGACTAGCCGGGCGCTGGTGGCTCACGCCTGTAATCCTAGCTACTCAGGAGGCTGAGATCTGAGGATCGCGGTTCAAAGCCAGCCCGGGCAGGAGACACCGTGAGACTCCTATCTCCAATAAACCACCAGAAAACCAGAAGTGGCGCTATACTCAAGTGGTAGAGCGCTCGCCTTGAGCTGAAGAGCTGAGGGACAGCGCCCAGGCCCAGAGTTCAAGCCCAACGACCGACAAAAAAAAAAAATGATGGACTAAATTGTTCAGTTCAGTTTTATAAACGCTCATGAGGCACCTTTCTAAGGAAGACATGATGGTTAGCCACCTATAAAATTCTATTGTCCTGAACAGGGTCAATGGAAAAATATCAAAGTGAAGCAAAACAATTTCCAGCTTATAGCAAGGTTGAGGAGAAATCCCAAATAGCTGACTGTATTACATCATCTCAGTGAACATTATTTATAAATACACAATTGTTTAATTTTGAGACATTCAGAAATCTTTACCAAAAAAAAAAAAAATCAGCAGATTCTATTAACACCCCAGCCCCACAAAAAAAAAATGTAAATTACTTTGCACCTTAATCAAATGGAGTGCTTCTAGAAAGAAATCTGGGAAAGTCAAAGTTATTAACACTTCCTAGGGCAACAGTTAAGAATAGGATGCATTAAGAAGGGGGGGAAAATGACATATCTGGCTAAAACTGCAGGGGGGATTCCAGGGGCAGAATGCTGTGCATCTGGACAGGACACAGAGGCCAGTGGCCTATTGTTTACAAAAACAAGCCGGGATTATGACAGTGACAAGAGGCCAAGACCTCAATTATAACTCACAACCACACCTCTCTCAATCCCAGTCCAACTGAAGCTATCAATCAATCAACTCCCCCATCTCTGTAATAAACCTACCAATATTTGCAGCCAAGTGGATAGACGGTCCCTTAGGACACTTCCAACACTGACCAAACTGATGACATAAAAAGATCCTTCAGACACAATGGGGACTTCAAACTACCTGCCAACCTTCAAAGGCATAAGGGAACTGCCCTTTTCACTCTATCCCTACCCCAGGCAATCAGAAGAAGGGAGACATGGTCCTTCCCAAGTCCTCTATAATAGAAAAAGGTCTCCTTGCATTGGTGCAGGGAAAGAAGGAGGGGCCCCTCCCTCTGTACTCTGAAACAAAGGAAAACCCAGAGCTCCAACCATGTGGTGTAGCATTCAGGGCTACCTACCTCTCCCACTCCCCAGCAAAGGTCTCAATGGGCTGGAGCCACATGGCTTTTTCCAGTGACTGGTCAGGAAAGAACAGTGTCTTGCACAAACACAAGCTAGGGCTCTTTCACAGGCAGGAAGTCCTCCCAAGGGAAATGCTGGGTAAGAAAAGGCTAATGGACATGGACTGACTGACCAGCCAAGTCTGGTGGAGGACTAGATAGGGAGACAGGTTCCTTGTATTCATCCATCTATATTTTGCTTTGCATCTCACATGTTTGCAGAGGGGAAAATAGACCTTTAAGAGCATGTATCCTGCCTGGAGCAGAGGGTGACAGTACAGAAGGGTTAAACAATTATGTCTTCTCATTTTCCAGTTATCAGCAGTACTCTGAAACCCAAACATTCCCAACTCAATTTGGGTTAGGTAAGGGCAGAGAACTGGGCGTGGGTAGCCTTATATCTTCTGTTCTATGATCTCACTCTGATTGTATGCAGGTGACCAGGGACTAGGCAAGTATAAGGTGCCCCCAAGATGGCTAGAGACTTTCTATGCCCAGTGCCATAGCAAATACCATGTTTTACTATAGTCCATCAGAAAAAGAAGGGGGAAAAAAGCCTCTCCCAGGACTCTTCAAACGGTACACCTTCTGAAGGCTGCCTTTCTGTGTGGACTCTTCAACCTCTGAAATGCATGTCCAAACACCTGTCAGATTTCAGCTGTCCTTCAAGGAGTCCTGACCCAGACACCAGGAGTTAAATTACCGCCTTTTCCCAAGACCCTCCGGCCCCTCCCCCCACCCTGTCCACCCTGGAGGAAGAGGCAACCAAAATAATGGCCAGCCCCACAAAGACACTCTTTGCACCCACTCAGACAATTCCTTCTCAGTGCCCCAGCCTTAGGAGGCGCACACCCACCTAGAAACCACCTCTGGGGTCAGCCTGCCCCCACCTGCTCCACCCAAAGAAATGAGCAGCATGCCTGGCCAGTTCACAGAGCAGAAGCATTCTGACATTTTTCCAAAGCCCTTACCTTTGACTTGAGTATCGTACTCTGCTATGATCTCCTTATCCTTTTTAAATTTGGCTGGGGACGTCATGATTTCCTTCTTTCTTCCGAATTCAAATTGTGAATTGATAGATCCAAGGGAAAAAAAAATCCAACCACTGAAATCAATACCTCCAAGACCGCTTCTCCCAAGGGCAGAAGGGGCCCCCCGCGGTGGTCTCCAGCGCTCCGGGGAGCGCGGGCTGCGGGTTGGGCAGGCGGCTACGGCGGGCACATGCAGACGGTGGGCGCTGGGGCCGGGTGCGGCAGCGGCTGGTGGTTCCTGTGCTAGAGCCGGGGCCGCAGCCTCAGCATTAGCGGGGAGAACTGCAGCGCCCGGAGGCTGGCCTGGGGTCTGACATCAACGACACAGGCGGGGAGTGGAAGTCCTTCCGCACAACATGGTGGGGGGGGGGGGGTGCGGGGGTGTGGACGCGCCCAGCTGTGTCCCCGGGAGGGAGTGGGTTTGTATTGGGGTGCCGGGGTGGGGGGAGGGCTGGGCGTGCTTCGCGGGATTTTTTTTTTCCTGTCGTACAGACTTGGAGATGCTGCAAATCAAATCCCAAACGGGAGCCGCAGCAGCTCGGACTGGATCGGAAGTCGTTTGCTCCGGTTCACTTGCCTGTAAACGCAGGAAAAGGGGGAGGGGGGCGATCAGCCCGAGAACAGATCCTAATCGAGGCGAGGGTGGGGTGGGGGACGACGCTCCCACCCCGGCCTGGGCCCATTCATCTCGGCCAAACGCCGCGGGCCGAACCCGGACCAGCGAGATGGGGAGGAAGGAAGCTCCCTCCGGATTTTGTTTTAAGGTTGAAAGAAAACACTTTGGAGCTGCCGCCTTCTCGGGCTCCGGGCGGGGACTGCGGCACCTCGGCGGCTTCCCGAGCCCTGCCGGCGCTGGGCAGCCGCCAGCCCGAGGGGGCCCTCCCGATCCTGCCCCTCCACTCGGACCCCGGACCCCCGACCGGGGCACCTCCCGGGACATCAAAGTGGACCAAAGCCGGAGAGGGACAAGCCACCCGGGCACAACTTTTCTCCCCCCCCCCCCCCCCGCCCCTCCTCACAGTTGTTTTGTTTTTGGTTACTAGCTTCTCTTGGCAGCCAAATGTGTGTACGGGGCGGGGGGGGGGGGTCTGCTGGAAAAAGGCTGCTCGGCACGGGACACGTCCAGGAAAACAATGCGGTCGGCAGAAGCAGGAAACGGGTTAGAGGCGAGGGTCGGAACCGGGAAAGCCGGGGAATGTGGAGGGAGGGCGGCAGACCGCGGCCGCCTCCCCCAAGCTAGGGACGAGAGGGATTCTAAATGACACCCCCGATGTTTTTTGTCACTCGAGCCCAGGGATCCCAAATACCACACCCAACCTCAGCCTGGGGGTGGGGAGAGGGTCGCCGAGGGTCCCGCCCCGGCCAGGGCCGGGTGGTGGCGGGAGGGAAGCGCCGAGTCCGACGCCGGGCTCTCAGGGGCGCCGCGGCTGCGCCCCTCCCTCCCCGGCCGCCCCTTTCCTTCGGGGAGCCGGCCGGAGGCTGCGCCCGCTCGTGCCTCCCTCTTCCCGCGGCTGGAGGAAGGGGTGCACCGCGGGAGGAGGAGAGGGCGCAGGGGCGGCGTGGTTCAGGCGGGCAGGAAGCCGGGAGGCCGGGGTGAGGTAGGGGGTCATGAGGCGTCTTAGACGGAAACCCCGGGACAACCGGGGACGGACAGGCTTGCAAGGCGGGCGGGGAGAGGGCAAGAAGATGGGCTTGGTGGTGAGGAGCAGCTAGGAGGGTCGTAGGGTTGCGATGTTACGGAAAGTACAAGGCTGTGGGCGACTTGGGGCGCCCAGATAGGAGGGTCTGGGAACGGTAATGGGTGAAGAGGAGCCCGGGGCGGGAGGGAGGGAAAGAGCCCGAAAGCTGTGCAGAACAGACCCAGATGTCACCCAGGCCTGGGACAGACAGGGACAGAGGGCAGCGAGCGGACGACTACGAGAGATGCCAACCACCTAACCCCTCGGTGGACCCCGGCTGGCCGAGGCCGAGGACCTGGGAGGGGGCTGGGTGCGCGGGCGGTGTGCGAAGAGGACGGAGTCCCAGGTGGTGGGAGGTGGGTGGCTTGACCCGCAATCCTGAGCAGTATCACAGGATGCGCGCGGAGGTGCGGAGGGGGTCGGGGCGGGGGGCTTGGGAAGGGCTGTCTGAGGGAATCCGGGCGGGCGGCCCCGCAAAGGCGAAGCGACCGAGCCGCGTCCGCGCGCTCCCTTTCCCGCCCCAGCCCCGGGTTTGTTCAGTCAGGGCTTCAGCCTAGGCGGTTAGGGAGAAAGGGAGAGAGGGAAGGAGCCTTTACCTGGCTCTGACGCGGTGGGTCCCAGGCCCCGGGCTCCGCTTCCCACTAAGAGCTCTCCTCCCCTCCTCTCCCCGCCACCCGCTTCTACGCAGAACAGCCCCCAGTCCCCTGAGAAGCCTCCGCCAACTCCGCAGGACCCCGCCGGGAAGCAGAGCCCGCCCTCTTACCAATCACCTCCCGCTTTCTATCGACCGATGGACGCTCTGGCCAATAGGAATAGCTCATCTCGAGAGTCCAGGGATAAGGGGAGGAGCCGACGAAACTTGGAGGTGTGACTAGAACTCACTTGCTGAGGCGTGGTCCTAGAGTAAGCTCCTCCCCGACCTGTCGATCCCTCTAAACTAGAACTGGTGGGCGGGATAAGATGGAACCGACAACCAAACACAAACTCTTAAGACAAGGCACAACCAATTGGACTGGGGTAGGGAGGAGGGGCGTTGCGGGGAATTTTAGCCAATAGAGAGTAGAGACCAGCGGGGACTGTGAAACATCTTCCAATAAAAAGCGTGCAGGGAGTGTCCTACTACTATCACCAGGATGGGCGGAGGCTGTTGCCGGGATCTCAAGAGGCCGGCCAATGAGCTTGGAGGCGGGGCCAAATTTGACCAACCAGAAAGCCAATATGATCTCGGCACCGTTACTAGGGCGGGGCCTACGATCCCCACGCCACTCAGCGCAGGTCAGGGGAAGGCCCCTTCAAGATCTACCAATGCGGAGCGTGGGCGAACTCTAGTTTCTCCCAATCGCCGCGCGGCGCTGGCAATTCAAATTGACAGTAGGTTGGAAAAGCCCAGAAAGCGGAAGAGGGTGGAAAAAAAAAAAAAAGAAGAAAATTCCAGCGTGTTCTGTGACCAACTCCAGCACCGACTGACCCTTAACAGGCGACCTCTGCCCCACCACACCCACACCACACCGGCTGCGGCCCTAGAGAGACCTGAAGGCACCGCGGGCGGCGCGAGAGCTGAGGGAGGGAGGCCGCGAGGGAACCCGCGCGGGCCCGCGGCGGGCCGTGCTGGCCGGGGACTCCCGGACCGGGGTCAGCGGGGGAGCTGGGCTGGGCGAGGGGACGGGTTTGAGGGACAGGGGGAGGAGAACCGGAGATCGTCCTGGTGGAAGGAATCCGGGGTTGGAGAGCCCGGGAGCAGGAGGCGTGGGCCCGAGGGAGGGCCCTTAAGGATGGGAATCCCTTTAAACCTCGAGTTAGAGGCGGTCGGACCCGCCCGTGGGACTAGCTGGAGAAGAAGGGCGCCCTTCGGACCCAGAAAGGCCGAGATGCCCCCCTATGTTCAAAAGAGGCCAGATTTGCTTCTCCCCTCCCCCGCCCCCTGGGTCCCACTCAATAAATAGTACTTTTACTCTTCCACCGGGAAAACAAAGAATTCTTTTTGTCCTTCCCAGTGTGGGGGGACTTAGAAGAGACCTCAAGGCCTGAGTCTTTTTTTTTTTTTTTTTAGCTTAGGGGAAATAAAAAGGAAGGGTATTTGCCCCTCTTCAAAGCCCCACACTTCATCCTCCGTGGGACGCCATGTCTACCAGCAGTTGTAGTTTCAAGAACCGATGCGTGTCCATCCTGTGTTGCAAATTCTGTAAGCAGGTGCTCAGCTCTAGGGGGATGAAGGCTGTTTTGCTGGCTGATACTGACATAGACCTTTTCTCTACAGACATTCCTCCTACCAAGTAAGTCAAGCCGTGGTAGCCGTTAACTAAATGGGGAGTGAGTTTGTACGCTTTGGATTTCTGGAAGGCAACTGGAGATTATCATTTGGCGTTCCTGCCACTCCCAACAGTCTGATGATCCCCTAGGACTCTGTCTTAAGTGGGCAGACTGTCTGGACAAAGTCTGTGGTTTAGCCAAAGTGGTCAGTACTGATGTCATATTTCTAGTCTAAGTACAGTCACGTGGCCATGGAAGCCCTTAAGTTAGATCCCTGGCACAGTGCCCTGTCCAGTCATCCTATCTGACTGAATCAAGACTCCAGGTACATTCAGGCAAGATTTTCTGCCCAGCTGGACTCAAAGAATCATATTAGAGTCTCCTATTTGTCCATAACGTTTTATACTAAAATACATCATACTTTGTTACCATCATTTGCAATAAATAAATCAGCTCCTCTGTCAATGAAATTCATCATTCTTTTTCAAATCTCTCTCTCTCTCTCTCTTCCTTCTTCCCTCCTTATTCCCTCCTCCCTATTATTCTTCCCCTCTCCTTCAATGATAGTTTGATATTGATGGTATAAAAAACGGAAACTTACCATTAAGAGAATCCTTATCCCTCATAAAGCCTATTTTTGATGTTAACATCAAGTTGCATAATAATTCCTTTTAAAATCTGTTTTCAGTCCCTCCCCACTTTGGAATCTAAAGTCCTTAAAATTTGCTTCCTATTTAGTAAAACAGTCATTTTATTTGACTTATATATGCCTTTATTTGGCCCTAAAAGATACTTTTCCTTCCATAATCAATTTGTCCTGCATAATCAATGTGTCCTATATTTTCAAAATAGCGTTCTTTTATTAAAATAAAACTATCCAAAATATGAATGGATAGCTATTCTCCAAGTCTTTAGCCACACACTTGGAAGGAAGCAAACTAATAGCCATAATTTATTTTTTTAATTTTATTGTCAAGGTGATGTACAGAAGGGTTACAGTTACATAAGATAGTGATTACATTTCCTATCAACTTGTTACCCCTTCCCTCATTTTTCTCCCTCTTTCCCTCCCCTCTAACCCCCCCAACATATTGTCTTGTGAGTATCACTGTTAGTTATATAAGTTCCCTTTTGTCCTTTGTCCCACCATTCCATAATTTATTTAAAACATAGATGATAATCATAGAAACTTTGAAAGTTCCAAAATATATTTAAATAAACCTGTAGGATGAAGATCGCCATTGAAATCTTTCATTCATTGGCTTAAGTATAGCCATAACTAACTACAAAGGCTACCACCTTTGTTTTTCAGAGATAAATGGGTTAATATTTTAAGTTGATATGTGATACCAAAAAAGATAGAAGAGATACTAGATGATAAATCATAGAATCTACTGTTGCAAAAGGTTGTATGAGGGGCTGGGAAGTTGGCTCAGTGGTAGAGCGCTTGCTTTGCATGCCTGAGGCCCTGGGTTCGATTCCTCAGCACCACATAAGAAAAAAGCCGGAAGTGGCGCTGTGGCTCAAGTGGTAGAGCGCTAGCCTTGAGCTGAAGAGCTGAGGGACAGCGCTCAGGCCCAGAGTTCAGGCCCCACAACCGGACCCAAAAAAAAAAAAAAAAAAAGGTTGTATGATTTACTGTCTAGAGCTTTTTCCTTTTTAGTAGCACATACAGATTTTTAAAATTAACCCACTCATCTTGACAGTAGCTGTGGTAAGTAGCAAGCAGTCTTATGAAAGGATCAGAAAAATGTATACATTACAGGTTAGGCTAATCTAGAACAGACTTAGATCATTTTTATTATTTCTATTTTGTTGGAATTATAATAGCAGTAAGTTAATGTGCTAAGACATATGTGACTCAATGAATATGTAAAATATTTTAAGTGGAAGTTTTGCCAGATGTTTATAGTCAGCTCACAAATACTAATTGACTCATAATTCTGTACTTCTATTCTTTCAGCTGTATGAATTTACAAAATGTGTGCCAAATCACAAAAGTACATTTGATGGTGAGAATGTAGGGCAATGAGAACCCCTGCCTACTCTTGGAGATATAAAATGGTGCAGCTCCAGTGGAAAGCAGCCTGGCAGTTTCTTTGAAAATTAAACAAAATTGCCATATGATCTGATAGTTCCACTTCTGACATAGACCCAAAAAAGTTCAAAGAAGCATCTTGCAAAGATATTTCTTTGTAGCAACTTTGTGGACAATAGCCAAGCAATAGAAACTATCTAAATATCTATTGACCCATCTGATAAATGGATAACAAAATATGGTTATATATATACAATAGCATATAATTCATCCTTAAAAGGAAAGATCTTGTCACATATTACAGTGGCAGTGGACTAAGCTTAAGGCTATTGTGCTAAGTGAAATACACTAGTCACAAATATGACAAATACTGTGGGATTCTACTTATACTAAAGTAGTCATATTCGTAGAAACAGAAAGTAGAATGAAGCTGGGGGAGGGAAAATGGGGAGTTGTTATGTAATACTTATAGAGTTTCAGTTTTGCAGTATGAGAAAGGTCTGGAGATTTCTTGCACAACAATGTGACTGTATTTAACACTTTTGAATTATGCACTTAAAAATTAAGATAGTATTCATGTTATCATTTGGCCGCAATTAAAACATTTTAAGCATATTTGTAAACTTTTTTCTGTAGTGCAGTGGACTTCATTGGAAGATGCTATTTCACGGAAATCTGCAAATGCAAACTGAAGAACATAGCTTGTTTAAAATGGTAATTTGTGGCCGTATTCTGGATAGCCTGGGTTTGGAAGATGGATGTTGTCACCAAAGTAAGGAGAAAGGTTCAGTGGGCTGTAACGAGCACTGATATAACCTATGCAATGAGCCATTGAAAAACCATTTGTTACTTACAGCTATTTATAAAAGGGCCTTGGGATACTTCACATTTGTAAATGATTTTGTAATTTTTCAAAGTGCACTCAAAGGTAGCTGCTTTTTTTTTTAAAGAATAAAACAATGAATATAGCCTAGAAAAAAACACTAAGATTTAGTCATAAAAATTAGATTTGAGCTCTGATCCTATCCTTATTCTCTGTGTGATCTTAAATAAATTCCATAAACCTCTGAACTGTTTTTCCCTTCTCTCTTTCCACTCCTCTCCTCCTCTTTACTCCTCTTCTCTTCCCCTCATATATCCCTATGATAAATGATAGTTCCATGAAAACAAGGACTTAATTTTGTACATTGTTGGATTTCTACCACCTAGACAATGTCTGGCTCAATAAATATAAATTAAGTGAGCAGATGAATGGACGAATGAATAGGAGTAATAAGGTCATAGATTTACTCTTGGAGTATATATAGTCTTACAAATAATTGTCAGCTATAGTCTAAGAACAACTTTCAGTTTTATTTATTTGCCTTGGTTATGATTTGAAGACATTTTAGGAGGTTAGTACCTATTATAGTATTCTTTGTAGGAACTTACAGAGTGACTGACTCCCACATCTCACTGGGTGAGACCAAGCTATAGTAAGTACTTTTACAACTCAAAATATAAACAGTTCATGATGTCATTTAAAAAATATGAAGATATTCCCTATGTGTTTACTCCATTTAGCATATGACAAGCTAGTAAAAAAAAAATTGTGTAAGACTGAGGTACTTTAAGATCATCTGGATAATACTGAAGACAGTAGAAACTTTTTCAACTTTCTCTAGAGGCTGGTGATTTGCTTTATTTTTGAATTCCTCCAAAAACACTGAAACTAAAATTAGAGTGGCCAGCTTGTGTTTAGTTTACAGGGCTTCATGCTGTCTTCCTACTCCTCCATCTGTTGGAACATTTTTATGTTCTGGCAGAGAGCTAGAACATGTAGGAACCCACCTTGCCACAATCCTGGGGTTAGAAAAATTCTCTACCTCTAGTTAAGTCTTTATTTAATGTGTTTTTGTCTGTATAGCATATTGATTTCAGGCACTTGACAGAACAAATCACAACCTTCTATTTGTCCTTTACAGAACTTATCACAACCAGAAGCTAGCTTCCAAGGACAGAATACAAAAATAATAGCAAGGATCTGCTCATATTGTTTCACTTAGCTTGCAGACAAAAGTTCCCAGTTGGTAGTATGACTATAACTGTAATCAGAGTAAATCTCATCCCAAAGATCCCAGCGATGGAGATTGTTTGGAAGAGATGTCTAACTTACATGTTCTCACTACAATTAGAATGTGAAAATGCATTTATGGACCAAGTACTACATGGTATCTAATAACATTTACTTTCTTTTGTAGTGGGAACATTGTAGGGTACCATGTGATTGCTCCATGTAGTCCCTGCCTTCTTTCCTGCAACAATGGACACTTCTGGATGTTTCACAGCCAGGCAGTTTACGGTATTAACAGATTAGACTCCACTGGTAAGAAACCATTGACATAGACATTCCCCTGTCAAATTTCTCTGACAATACCTAAGAAGAAATCCCAACAGACTGTTTCCAAATTCCTCCGAGACCTAGACAGCTAGATTGGATCAGCCAGAGTGAAATGTCAATCCTTTTTTTATTCATTTATGAAAACTCTTAGCTTGAACTCAAGACTCTGTTCACAAATTTATTTATATATTGTTTCTTCTTTCTTCCCTTCTTTTCTTCTTTCCTTCTTCCTTTTATTCTTCTCTCCTTCCTCCCTTCCCCTGGCCTTCCCTTTCTTTTTCTTTTTTCACCTTTCCTTTGCTTTTTTTTCTGTTTTTATTTGACTCAGTCTAGCTACATAGTCCAACTGGCCTCCTACCCTCCTACCTCAGCCTCCCAACTGTTACCACCATGATTAACTTTTGGGTCTTTTTACATTAATGTTTCAATTGCTCTAAACTATTGCCTTGATGTATATTACAATTCCAGAGAAATTTTGAAGATTTTTATATATGGTAGTTTTGTGTGTGTGTGCGTGTGTATGTGTGTGTGTGCAAAAAGAGAGGCTGGGGGAGTGGGAGGGTGATAAGAGGAACCATTGCCTTCAGTAGTTCTTCACTAAAGATAAAAATAAATATTTTGATATCTAGATCAAGAACTTATGATTGAAATTAGTCACAACGTGTTGTGACTAATTTTTGTAAGAAAATATAGTATCAATTATTATGGATGTGTTCATAATACTTGTTATTTTGTTTGGAGCCATTTAGTTTTGTTATGGGACATATGTTCCCAACGTCTATTATCTCTTTGTCCATCATGCCAAATTGATGTTGAGAATAACAGTCTAATTTTTTTATCACTGATATTCTCATGTTTTTTAGTGAATGTTTCTGCTTTGGAACTTAAAAAGATATTCCTTTTTTAAAAAAAGATATGATTTACATTGATAGACCAAAAGATCATGAATTGCAAACTAGGTTGTCATGGTTTTTAAACCTTCCAATTATGTTTGCATTTTTAGAGAGTTTTTTTTCCTTAATCACCTGAGAATCAACTGGACTCTCAATCCATCATTTAGGGATCTTAAGACTCCATATGTTAAGAAGGCCATTTTCAAGCAAGGACTCCTCAGAGTTCCCCTAAGTGAGATATAGGCTCCTAATTTAGGCTTTTGGTTTTATGTTTGTGTTGCTTATGGGATATATTAAAGCAAGTTTCTGCTTTGAAACTGTTTTTCCTGCTTCACAGGAATCAAAACAGAGTAGAGATTTTTCAGTTTTGATTTACATTTTAATAGTGGTCAATTTTTTCAAAGATAAAAGCCCAGCATTCTTCATTTGCTTGAATCTAATCCATAAAAAACAGATGTATCACAGGATTTCCTTCCTCCCTTCTTAACAGAGAAAGGAAGGTGGTACTTCTATCAGATTCAATCTCCTAGTTTATTTTTTCTCCTTTGAAGCAATTGTGCTGAGCTGCTTCATAGCTCCTAAGCTTTAATTCCAAGTATGTCAGACTTCTCCTTTGTAACTCTAATATTATAGCTTAATGTAAGATTTTGAATAAAAGAGAATTTGAGGCGTTTTGGTGGTACTGGAGCTTGAACTTAGGGCTCGAGCTTGCTCTGCTAGCACTCAACCACTTGACCAATCCTCCAGCCCTGCTCTTTTTACTGGTTATTTTGGAGACAAGTGTCAGACTTTTCTGCAAAGGCTGAACCTGGTCCTCAGACTCCCAAGTAGCTAGGATTACAGTTATGAGCCACTGGCACTAAAAGAGGGATTCTAATGACTTTGAAACTGTCCTTTAATCACCTGAGTCAATAACATTAAATAAATACATGTACAAGTTGTTCTAGACTTAAATGTCTAGACTGACAAGGATCACAAGAGTTCTGTGTTCTAAGCTATATATATATAGATCTGATTTCTGAGAATTTTCCCATGAGACTTGGGGAATCTAAGCTCAAATTCTCTAGGATTTGGCCAGATGGCCCCAGAGTCAAAGTATTGTCTTCTATTTACCTAGATTATGGCCTGGTAATTCCCTCCATCCTGTCAGCTCTCTAGTGCACTATTACCAGAAGCAAATCACAATCTATTCTTGGAATTAGGATGGGGGAGGGTTTTTTTTAATAATCAAAAATTCAAACAGATTATGGAAAATAACATGATAGACATCTATATAACCAGTATCATTGAATAAATGCTAACATTTTGTGATTAGATTACAATATCTCTCTCCAACAAGAGAGTCTCCCAGTGTTTCAACAGTGTAACACAGTGTAACACCCACATCTTTGTCATGTCCCCTTGAGCATCTGTGCAAAATAGGTGGCTAGAAGAAGGGATGAGGGTGATAGTCTGTATTTGCTATGTGTACATAAATTCATGCAAGGATTACAATTCATATTATAACTGGCTTCAGACCCTTTTTTTTTTTTTTTGGTCTGTCTTGGGGCTTGAACTCTGGGCCCTGGGCATTGTCCCTCAGCTCTTCAGCTCAAGGCTAGCACTCTACAACTTGAGCCACAGCACCACTACTAGTTTCCTGGTGGTTAATTGTAGATAAGTCTCACAGATTTCCTGCCCAGGCTTGCTTTGAACCACAGTCTTCAGATCTCAGCCTCCTGGGTAGCTAGTTTTACAGGCGTGAGCCACTGGCATCTAAAAGAATATTATAAGATCTTTAATCTTAAAAGTCATTAGAATAGATTAGATAATTATCAATGAAGAATGACCAGGAAAGAAAGACATAATATAAATGTACTCTTTTTCAGTTCTAAGACTCTAAAAGTCCAGCTCTTGCTTGAAATAATTTAAAGACTGTATGTCTTAGGTGATAATATTAATTTTATTTGTAATCCATCTTTTGATCATTCTTCTCTTCATTGTTAACACTATGGTTTTTATAAGAATTTTAGTACATAATATCTTGTATATCATGTTCTGAATTGTAGTAGTAATCACTACATAATGTTATGATCTTTTCTTTTCAGGTATAAACTTCCTACTTTGGGGTAACTTACCAGAGATAGAAGAGAATACAGATGAAGATGTGTTAGATATTTCAGCAGAAGAATGCATTCGATGAATAGAATTATGATATATAATATTTTATAATAGTATTTTCCTATTTAAAAATATGTTAGCAAATTAACTAAAATTGCCAGTGAGGACTTTCCAGTGACTTATTTTTTCTTTCCTTTTCTCTTCCTTCCTTTCTTCTTTCCTTCCTTTCCTTCTTCCTTCTTTCCTTCCTTCCTTTCTTTTGAAACCAAAACTTGACCTTTGTTGATTTATTTATTTGCTGTCTTAAATTAATTCCTTCAGTTTAAGTCAATGAAGTTTTTCTTCTCTTCCAATGCTTCCTTTCCTCCAGCCTTCATAGTATTAACTTCAGATAGAAGATTTTTCACATGTCACTCAGCTATCTCCCAATCAGGAGAGTTTTCCTAAAAACTTGATGCCAGCTACCACACTGGCTTTTACATTCCTCAATAGGAGCATTAGTGTCCACTTGTATATCAACTACACATGTATCAGTCTCAACTGAGTATTAACAGAGGCTTTAAAAGAAGAGTAGGCTGTTAGGCTGTCATGGATACTGACTATCATATGTTACACTGGTGATAACTGCTTTAACATGGAGCAAGATTTGTGAATCCGCTTACAGAATAAATTAAAACTTTAAAATAGATGAATTGTTTTGATTCCTTGATATGTTAGACAAATGAGTTTATCAGACATTTATCAGCATATACTGTTTACCAAGGTTATTCATTTACATTTTTCTAAAACCATGATGGATTGTATGATGAAAGCTAAATATTCTAAACCTTCTTCTCTGTCATCCCATTCTCCGGGGCTTTCTCTGTAAATAGCAAGCAAATTTCCTGGGTAGTCTCAGTCCAAACACTAAAATTAAAGGGGAAAAACCTTAATGGTTTAAGCCACTGTACATCATAAAGTTTTTTTCATTATTTTAGGCAGCATTCAGAGACACAGGAGTAAGAATTTGGGATAGTGCTGGATTTTGGTTTTATGTAAAGCTAAAGTCAATGTATCTTCTTAGCTAATATCTCAGTTTTAGGCATTGTGTCCACATGGATACCAAAGCAGATTTGAGTTGTGGTTTTATAAATAAAGTTAGTTCTAAAATTGACTATCTTTCCTTTAATTTTTTTAATTAATACCCACTTACCTTACCTAAAAATATAGAGATAGTATCTAAAATATAGACTAGAAAGGCTGGAGATTATTGAGTATATCATGTGCCAAGCAATGTTCTAAGTGCTTTATAAATCTAACTCACCCTATACAAGCAAACCCATGAAGGAGCCACCATTACTATTCCCTTTTACTGATAAAACAGGTGAGACAAAGAGGTTAAGTCATTTGTCTAACATCACATAACCGGTCGGAGGAACAGACCAAACTCAGACAGCCTGACTCCAGAACTCCCACTCCTAATCATGCTGTACCCCCTGAACTACTCAGACATGAATCAGTCATGTTCTGACTTAGCTGGGTAGCTAACTACCCTATGTAACCTCAGTGAAGATACAGGTGATAAATTTGAAAATTTGAACAAAACTCCCATTTACTTGGTCTTAGGACAGAAGGGACTTTTAGGCACTAGAAGAATTATCTGCTTCAAACTAGGATAAAAGGTGCTACAGGAAATGTTACTGACATCCATAAAATGCTTCTAGGAGTTTTTCATACTGACCCAGAGCACTGACAGAAGGTCATCCAAAGAATGAAAGGAGTACACTTGGGACAATTTGGTTTGGGATTTTATTTTTTCTATATCCTCTCTTAAATTCTTGTTCTGGAATAAAGTGGACCTATAGATAAGACAAATAATAAGGTGATTGTACATTTTATATCTTCAGTTAACTTGTTAATTTAGAGAAGAGAAGTTTAATGCTAAAGTTAAAATACAAGGTTAACACATTGGAGTTCATCTGGTTTCTGTTCAGCTCAGGCCTTCAAAGGCCATAGCTGACTGAGGGGCTCTTTGAAGAGCAAAAGCAAGACAGAGGTTCACTGATTGAAGTAAGCCCCAAATGTGATTCTAGTCCAGCTGGACAGTATTTCAAATTACTCAGCTATTTTTAGCTGACTGGGTTACAGGAAAGTCCATTTTAAGTAGCAAATGGATTGACAAATTTTTATCTAGAGAAATTTATTCCTGACACTGATTTTTAATAAAAGCAAATTCCATACACTTTGATAATACCAAATACAGAATGACACATGCAAGTAGATTTAGCAAGTGCTTTTTAGTCCTATCATAAGCCCAAGGCCTAAAAAAATCCATGTACACTTAATGGATTCAACAAACTTGTACTATTCTCCTACAGTGTGGCAAGAATGATACAATGAGCTGTTCACTTGACTTTAGGAGAACCCAGTGAGTTAGAGAGAGGATCTAATTCATCACATCAAGTGAATTAACAAAGGCATGTTTAAAGTGCTACTACTCCAGAGATGAAAGAACAATCCTGAGTAGCAGGCAAGAATGGGAGTTGAGAAATCTACAGAGAAGAAATGATACTTGAGACAGGCTTTGAAGCACAGGTCTTTGCCAGCTGGGATGACAGTTTAGGACAGAGGACAGTGTAAACAAATGGATGAGGATTCAAAGGACTTTGATTACCTAGGAAATTTTAAGTAGTTCCCCACGCCTTCAAAGATAAGCATTACGAAATGATTTAGGGGGCTGGGAAGGTGGCTTAGTGATAGAGCGCTTGCCTTGCATGCGTGAGGCCCTGGGTTCGATTCCTCAGCACCACAGGAGCAAAAAGAAAAAAGCCGGAAGTGGTGCTGTGGCTCAAATGGTAGAGCACTAGCCTTGAGCTGAAGAGCTGAGGGACACCACCCAGGCCCAGAGTTCAGGCCCCATGACCAGACTCAAAAAAAGAAAAAAGAAAAGAAAAGAAATGATTTAAAAGATGAAAGTAAAAAGGAAGGTTAAGACCACGATTTAAAGAATATCCTATGTCATGGTAAGTTCAGACTATCCAGGAGCAATATAGAGTTACTGAAGTTCTTTGTTTTGTTAAGTGTTTGTGCCAGCAGTGGGGCTTGAATTCAGAGCCTCACCTCCCTTGGCTTTTTCATACAAGGGTAGCACTCTACCACTTGAGTCGCACCTCCATTTCTTAGCTGGTTAGTTGGTGATAAAAGTCTCATGGACTTTTCTGACTTTGAACCATGATCCTCAGATCTCAGCCTCCTGAGTAGCAAAAAAAAAAAATCATTATAGAAGTGAACCCCCAGTGCCCAGTGAGAGTTACTAAAGATTTTTAAGCAGGAGAACATACTGATCAGATTTAGAACAAAAGCTCTGACAGAGTGTAATCAAATTTAGCTTTTCTAATGTCCTTACTTTGAGGCATTTCACAACTCAATTGTGGAAATTATGTTTATTGCCTTTGTCCTAAGGACTTTTGTCATTTTTGTCTCTCTTAGAACCTGTGGTTTACAATGGAGCACTGCCCTTCCCCCCTCTCCCTTTCTCCTTTCCATCTTGGCATTTCTGAAGTTCAAGGAAGGGCCAGTGAGTCATTCATTCACCAGCTATGCCTTTTTTTTTTCTGTTATTTTATCTTTTTCCTCATGCCAGTTTCCCAACCTCAAACCGTGGCTGTTTGCTGGCATCTTAAGTGGGGCTTAATCTTAAAGCTGTAATATTTTGAACCTCTGGTTCTGAACATCAGGTTCTTAAATATTAGCAGTTGAGGAAGATTATCCAACAAAGAAGTGCTGTTTTGACCTCTGGGTCACAAGTGACTGATTAAGAATAATCTATATTTGCTTTCCTTTGTTAAGGAACTAGTGACCATAATATATAAACAACAACAGATCAAACAAGTAATTAATCAGAATATAAATAGGGAGTGGGGGGAGGAGATGGGGAAGATATAGATCAAATAGTCTTGCCTCAGTGGTAAGTTACTCTATGAAGGCTCTATTTTAGCACTCATGCTTATAAAAGGAAATAGTTTCCTTTTCTGCCTTTTTTTTTAACTTTAAAAACAGCCTAAACCATAGTTTCTTTCTTGCCTGGTATTGAGCGTGTGCCAAATCTACCCTAAACTGCACAGATGGAAAACATTAGTCCATGTCTGTGGTACCTCTGGGGTTGAATATTTTTAGTACTTAAATCTTCAGCTAAAGATTCTTTCTTCCAACATTCTCAAAGAATCATTTTATTGTCTGTCATCCAATGGACAAAGTCACTGAGATAAAAAATGAACAATATCACATTTTAAAAGTTGATTGTGAATTTTCACATATCCTTTCATTGAATCCACAGAATAACTTGGGAGCTTTCATTCCCTCTTTCTAACTCAAGAAAGAATATCGTAGTTCCAACCCAGGGAGAAAAAGCTAAACTAGAATCTGAGTCTTCTTATTTTGGTTTAAGAATCTTTCCTACCTCCCTAAGTGATTCTAAACAAAGATCTATTTCTCCTTTATTAGCTATGAAACTTAGGACACAATTTTCTATGCTGTGCTTTTTTGGTTTTAATTGACATCAATCAGTTGTACAAGGGGGTTTTGTTTTAATAAGTCTATTTTTACATACAATGCTTCTTCTACCATTCTTCTTCCTCTCCCTGCCCCTTCTCAAACCAATCTCAAGTTGCCTTGATGCATTTTCACACATGTATATGAAACATTTTGTCTTTATTCACTCTCCCTCCCCCTCCTCATTTCTTTCCCGCCTTCTCCCTTGTCTAGGATCCGATAAGAAATGTTCTTTCTATTCTTCTTTTTTTGTTAAAATACATGTTAATTGTTCAAAATCGTTTCATCATGGTGTCTCATATTTGCATATACCATATTAGTCTATACATGTATACATATATAATCCTGCATATGCTTAAGTATATACTTATTAGTTTATGTCAGACATCCACATATGAAGGTAAGCATGTGTTGTTTGTCATGCCGAGCCTGACTTACTTCACTTAAATAAGAATGGTTTCCAGCACTATCCATATCCCAGAAAATAATATTAATTAATTCTTCTTTATAGCTGAATATTTCTTTGTATGTATGTATGTATGTATGTATATGGTAAACATAAATATCTGTATGTATAGTATATATATGTGTGTGTGTGTCTCAAATAGTGAATTAAATGGTGGACTTTTGCAAATTTCTCTATTCTCAGTTTCTTATATACTTGTACATAATCTCTATTACATGAAACATAGACGTGAATTGCATTTAATTTTTTAAAAATCTACTATATGGATTTGGGGGAGGTGCTTTGCCTTAAAAGAACACTAGTGAATTTTCACAAGAAGACTATGTATTTATTACAAGGAAAGTGAAAGCAG